CACAATTCACAGCGCTCACCATAGCACGTACCCTCCCCAATGTCTATCACCCAGCCACCCTGTGCCTCCCACCCCCCACCACTCCAGCAGGAATTCTTAATCTCAGGAAATAAACTGAGGGTTGCTGGAGTGGACTTTGTGTTTTATCTATTTGATTTTCCTTAATTTTATTTGACCATTCACATTGATTCTCACTTAGCTCTGGGATATTTTGGTGGATGTTTTCAATGTAATCTAGGTCCTTAAGATACTTGAATATTTTCATTTTACAGTTTGTTGGATAATTTGCTTGTAGAAGTAGTTTATAAACTATTATATTTAGTTCTAAGACACCAAAGATCTTAATGTTATTCTGTCACATTGCTTCGGTTTTACTGTCTTTAATTTTTTCCCATATTGTTACCTTAATTCTGTGTAAGTTGAATGATATTGCTGCCATTTAACTTACATTGTTAAATGAAGATGATCATTCATTTTCCCAAGATAAAAGACTTTGCATTAGTAGAGATGTACTGTCTGCAGGTATTACTTGCTTTACAACTACAGTAGTAGTTGTTGGGAAAGACCTTAACTGGGTTTATGATGAGTTATGATTACAGAGCATGAAGAAGTGAAGCTCAATGTGAGTACTCTGAAGTCCAGCCTAAGAGTCATTCCAAGTACTTGGGACACACGTATTCGGAACATAAGTTCTTAGCCTGTAAATTTCACATTATTTGGAGCAATATTGTGCAGATTAGGGAGAATAGAAGTGTGGGTTTTTCCAGTGAGATAAAGGGAAGTGAATTCTAAATTCCACTACTGCAGTTTCCTTATAGAGTATCTTCTATGTTTGTAACATTTGTATATCTCACCTGTCTTTTTCACTATGAATTTCAAGTAATAATTTCAAGAGAGTAAAGACTTGGTAGCTATTATGCTGGGTTTTTTTTTATATTAATTATCATCATTCAGGTCCAACCTTATACCTGTTTCCCAAGAGCATGTCCCCAAACTATGAGGCAGCTCCAATTCCCATATGAATAAGAAATAGCTAGTTTATTGTTGAGATATTGCTTTGGTCTGAAATGAGAGTTACACCTTAAGCAGAATGCTAAAGATACATCAGATGGATTACTAGAATTCTGTTAATAAGGTACTGTTTTCTGTATCTTAGCAAATTGTAGATGGAGATTTAGAAGTTTTTACTGATTCAAGGGGATGAAAGTGACATTTTGCAGTTGTTAATATTGAGCCCTAGAGAGGAACTAATTTGCTAAGTACCATGCATTTTCTTTTGAATCAGGACTTTAATCTCCCATTATTCTTTATTATTTATCTTTACTCGAATGAGTAATGGACCTTTTGTTATCTGTGATTGCCATTCTACAATTAGGTCCTTGTGATTTGCTTATTTTAGTTATGAGGGAGTTGAATAGTAATTAAACAGGTAATAAGGGAAAAACCTATAGAAATGTACCATGGATAGTTGAATACACCAGGATCTTATTCTTAACCAACTGAGCCACCCAGGCGCCCCACCAGGATCTTATTCTTAAATAGTTATCTTAATTTGTTAAGGAGTATGTGTGGTGTGTGTGTGTATATAAATAATGTGGGTATTGATAAATGAGAACTGATAGTTTATAGGGAAATCTTTTGAGGTCCAGAAAAATTACTTTCCTTTTTTTTTTTTTTTTTAAGGAGCAAGGGGAGTAAGTCTTTTCACAGGTATTTCCCTTATTAAGTCTCTGTCCCTGATAGAAATTTTAGAATATTTATAACCTCATATTTGTTTGACCTCTCTCAGTGTTCCTGATTCTTCACAAATAGGGATATGCTGGATGAATTGAGAGAAATGAGCTACCCTTTCTACTAATTGAATTAAATTAGAAACGTAACATTTGGATAAGGAAGGAAGGAAATACACATTGGAGTCTGTTGACTTAGTCATTTGATCTTGGATGTTTGGTACAGCCTGGGGTGGTCAGTTATTATTACCGTGAGAAAGCATGCAGTGGTATTTGCTGGCTCAGCCCTGTCCAAATAATCTCATTCTTTTTCCTTTTCTTTTCTTTATTTGAGAGAGAGAGAGCAAGCACAAGCAGTAGGGAGAGAGAGAGAATCTGAAGCAGACTCCACACTGAGTGCAGAGCCCGATGTGGGGCTCAATCCTACAACCCTGAGTTTAGGACCTGAGCCGAAACCAAGAGTAGGCTTCTTAGTGGATTGTGTCACCTGGGCGCCCCCTGATAATCCCATTCTTGGGGTGCTGCTTCTTTATAAGTGATCTAAAGAAAATCCTCTATAATAGGAATCCCTGGAAGATGATTAGTTTTTCAGTTTTTATTTTTCTTTTGGGGGCGGGTGGCTTGATGATCAGACTCATTGTTTCTTGAACCTAATGACAGTGCTCATTCCTAAAAGAGAATGTGGGGTTCAGCCAAGCTAATTTATGATAGGAGCGCTTTGTTGAGAGAGTATTAGAAGGAATGAGTTAGCAATAGGTGGTGAGAGCATTGTTGAAAGAAAGGAAGGTAAGAAGGAAAAAAGACAAGGTTTAGGTGATTATAGCATATCCTTTGTGTTGTAGAAGTGTGATGGAGACCTGTAAATCGAGAGCAGTGTTAGGATTCTTTCAATTGTTGGAAGTAGGAAAGCTTCCCTGTTTGAATATTTTACCAGTCAGGGTAGGTTAGGAGTCAGAATTAACTACCATTTACCCTCTACTTTTTCGTTAACTTGAGTGTATGGGTCTCAGCCAGCTTTGGAATGTTAAATTCTATGTGCCTTTTCTTGAGATGACTAGGCAGTATTATGTCCTCTGTTGAAATTACAGTGATTAGTAAGATGTGCTGATCAAATAGCTGTTCATTATACAGTATACTGGAATGGGTAGAGTTGTATATTTCTAGGCAACTTAGATTAAATCAAACTTTCTCCAACTTTAGTACACTTTAAGAGTCACTGGGAGGTTGGGGCACCTGGGCAGCTAGAGTTGTTTAGGTGTCTGCCTTCTGCTCAAGACTTCATCCCAGGGTCCTGGGGTAAAGCCTCATGTCAGGCTCCCTGCTCAGAGTCTGCTGCTTCCTCTGCCTCTCCCCAGCTTGGGCTCTCTCTCTCTCTCGCTCACTCTCTCTCAAATAAATAAATAAAATCTTAAAAAAATAAAAGAGTCACTAGGAGGGCTTGTGCAGTTTGAGTGCGAGTTTTTGGATCAGCAGTAGGTCTAGGTCTGAGAAGTTGACAGATGCTGATTTCAGCACCATATGTTGAAAAAAAACTGGGTTTTATTCAGAGAACAAAATGCCAGCATATATTTAAATAATGTACTTCAGTTTATTTTTGATAATGAATCAACTACACAAATTTTCACCAAGTTCACATTCAGTAAAATGACCAATAAACAAAAATTTTATAAAAAAAACATAATTTTTTTTTTAAAAGTAGATGTGATCTCAGTGAATAGTGTGATTTCCAGGACATGGTAATTTCTGCATAACAATTCTATGTTTGGGGCAAGGTTTATCTGGTTTTGTTCTATTAGTCATAAAACAACATTACTTGAATTACTTTGCATTTGGGCATATGTTTGTGTTTTTTAAGATTTTATTTTTAAGTAATCTCTACACCCAGTATGAAGCTCAAACTTATAATTATCCCGAGGATCAAGAGTTACACACTCTAGTGATTAAGACAGCCAGGTGCCCTTGTTTTGTTTTATTTTAAGCATCCACTTCTGGATCGTTTTAAGTATTAGGCCAGAAACTGGCAATACCAAAGGATTTCTGGGTGTTGTGTTTGGGATTGAGTCTGTTTTCTGGGGAAATTTCAACCACTGTGTTACAGCTTGGCTGTGAATACTGCGGTGGCTCTATTTGGTTATTGAAATCTAATGCTGTTTTTTAATGATGCTTCTTTATGGGCATAGTCTTACAATGCGCTGTCTACTTCTACTTAGAAACAACGAAAATTAGCCTAGGATTTCTCCAGGATTGAAAGTGCTGAAGAATGTATAGTTCAAATCAGAGTCACACATCCATGCTATAGCAAATAAGGAACCCACAATTGAAATGAGGGGACTTCTTTTCTGTGGCTTCGAGTGAGTAAAATAAATTACAGAGGATTTTTTAATATTGTAACTTATGATTTCTAGGAAAATAAGTTATTGAAGTGAAACTGGTTTTCTTATTTTTGAAGGATGACACAACATTTGGGGCATTGTATTTTTCTTAATTTATATTTCATTACCTTCTCTAGTGAGCTTTTTTGGACAGTGGCTTTGTATTTTAGATAGATGGGGTATTTTCTCTTTTTTTTAAAGATTTTATTTATTTGTCAGAGAGAGACAGACAGAGAGAGAATGAGCACAAGCAGGGGAAGAAACAGGCAGAAGGAGAAGCAGGCTTCCTGCTGAGCAAAGAGCCCGATGCAGGACTCAGTCCCAGGACACTGGGATCATGACCTGAGCCAAAGGCAGACACTTAACCAACTGAGCCACCCAGGTGTCCCAGATGGGGTGTTTTCTCAACTGAGTGAATCATGGCCCTAAGTGATATCAAAGTAACAATAGAAGTATTGGCTTCCTCTAAGATTGCTGAAGTCACAATGGAGAAACAATGCATAAAAGGCCTGAGTTACCAAAGAATATTTCTATGTCTAAGATTATAACATGGAAGATTTGTAAAAATGGCTACAAGAAGGCATAGACTTATTCTTCCTTTTTAGGGAGAACAAAACATTAATAATTGGAATCTAGTAGGAGTTTGGATAGTTAGCAATTTTTGTTATATTGGTATATTGTTAACACAGTTATTGGTGGAATCAATACATAACTGAACAAAGGCATAACAAATTTCCTTATGGTATAGGCAAAGCTTGGCTTCAATTTAAAGCTCAAATTTCTCATTTGTAATTTTTTGAGTCATGAAACATGGACATTTTATTGTGCCACATTGCTGGGGGCACAGAATTAAGTGATATTATCTTGATGTCAACTTGCCCGTTCTGTCATTTAGAGAGTGCCAAATTTTAATTTGGGGCCTTGATGGAAAGGGAAAAGGGTGTTCCTTAAGGTGTCTACTCTTATTGGATATTTCTATCTGTTTCAGGATAGCTCACAGGAGAATAAATCTTCCGTGTTTAAATATTTAAAAAAGCACGTGTTCAGTTGAACTTAGCCCTTTGTGCAAATCCCTTAGAAATCAAGAGAGCATTGTTTAGGATCTATGACAGTTTACTTGTCAGTAGGTAATAGAGTACTTGGCCCCATAAAAAGATATGAAAATGTGTCATTATTTAGGTTGGCAAAATATATTGTTTATTTTCTTGGTTTTTGTAATGTATATAAACATCTGTACAACTCTAAAAGAAAAGACTTGGAACAATTGTATTCAAAATGACAAAAACATGTACAGATAATTCAAAGAAGAAAATACAGCCAAGTAAAGTGAAATATCTAAAAATAACTTACAAGCATCCTTTAAAAATCACTGACACATTTAGTTATCAGTTTTACATAGATGTAAAGAGGCTATGCCAGCTAGGTCAGGAAGTGGCTGTCATTCATGGACATGAACGGAGCCTAAGAAACATGGACAGGTATTTCATCCAGAAACTTAGAAAATTTAGTGGACAGTAGATGCTGTACAACAAACTCCATTAGATGGTTGTTCTGGAGCTGCCTTTCTAGATTAGTTTTGTTGTTATTGCTGTCTTTTAACTGTATTAAAACTTCTAACTGGTCCCCTTACTTCTAGCTTCAGATTCTCTGTTTCATCTGTCTGCCAGAGCAGTCTTTTGGAAAGATATGACAAACCTCGTTACGTTGCTTCAAAAATCTGCAGTTGACATGTTTCAAGAGCATTAGAAATAAGCAATAATCAGAGAAGAGGACAAAGATTATATAAATTGATAATATTTAGAGCATCTTTGCCACTGACAAAACTGGAAGTTTTCTAGTCACTGAACATTTGGATTTATAAATTTTGTGACGTTCCTTTACTTTTATCCCCTGAATGAGATGCTCCCGATAAGAATCTGGAGAAATTTGTACAGCAAGAAAAAATGTGATTAAAATCCAGGATGATACAGGATAATGTGCAAACCTTTTTTCCATTAACATGAACAGGAAAGGATAGCCTGATTGCCTCTGCATTGATAAAATTGTAGTTTTCAAATTCTTCTGGAGAATCCTTTGCAATTTGACTTACGGACTGCTGTAGAAGTCTAAACCTGACGATGATTTAAGGGGTCATTGACCAGGACCCTCCTGTAGAGACACTCTAGCTCTTATACTCTATTTCATGGACCAACATGATCAGCACAGCATCCCTCATTCCAAATTATTCCCAAAAATGCAAGTGTGTGAAGGTATCTACTGAATTGAAAATTATTTCAGGTGGATGGCACTTGTAGTATTGGTCTAGTGTGGACAATCTCAAGGAAATATAGCCAGCCTTCTAGGAATATGTGGAAAGAAGGGGAAGGACAACACATACTGAATTCATCTAGAAGCTTCACCAACTGCAAAAAATCACTGACAAAATAAATAGAGATATATACTGTCCTGAAATTCATCTTCCTTTCAAATATTTATATTTCATTGGCAGTCTTTGCATTTGGAAAAAAGTCTCAATATTTTTCTTTCTATAGAGTTATCAACTTGCCATCAAAATATTTACCAGTAAGAGCCCTGCATATGTGACATTTATTGCCTATGTGGTAAACACAAATATTAGTTTTCTTTTTTTTTTTCTTCCCCTACCTGCCATTTTAAAACAGCTAGGAACCTAATCTATTAACTAATTTACTGGACATATATAGCTTAAGAATTTATTTAAATATGTAAGAAAATTGTGATTGGGTAATGATACTGAAATGGAAATATAAAATACTCAGTAAATGATGAATATGCATGAACTGTTCATTGGATGTTTGGAGGTGAAGAAAATGAAATTCAACATGTAATAGTTTTTTATTGTATTTTATTCTTAATCTTTTTGGGAATCTAATGCTTAAGCACAGAGGCCTACATTTATAAACAAATCTATTGTTTTTAGATACTTTTAAAAATGGTTGCTGTGATAATAGAGCTGGTTTTGTAGGGAAGTTTCTAAAAACATGTTTGGTAAAACTGCGTCCTGGAAAATATTTTAGAAAAGAATGGGCCATTTTGTAAAGATATCTTCAATTCTCTATTTATTGTTTGAGTGCTTATGGATAGTAAAGAGGAAATGGGCATGGGGAGTGTTTACTATATTAATCAGGAAAGAATGTAAGGCACTAGTTATTTATGTGCATTTTGAGAATATTGTATACGAAATAACCAAATATAACTGCTTTGTGACCGTAAGGCATTGTGATTGCTAAGAAAGCCGTTGCTAACATATGCAGAAGAAATATTTTTAATACGTGACTATGAAAATAGAAGTTACCTCT